CCCCTGTTTCTGTGGGGAAAAAAGAGAAAAAAGAGAAAAAAGAAAAATAGAAAAAAAAAAGAAAAATTACAAAAAAAAAGAAAACAAGACAAAAAGAAAGAAAAAGGAAAAAAGAGAAAAAAGAAAAATAGAAAAAAAGGAAAAGGAAAATTAAAAAATAAAATAAAAAAGAAAAAAGAGTGGAAAAAAAAGAAAAAAGAGTGGAAAAAATAAGAAAAAGAAAGAAAAAAAGAGTGGACAAAATAAGAAAAAGAAAGAAAAAAAGAGTGGAAAAAATAAGAAAAAGAAAAAAAAAAGAAAGAAAAAAGAGTGGAAAAATAAGAAAAAGGAAAAAAAAAGAAAGAAAAAAGAGTGGAAAAAATAAGAAAAAGGAAAAAAAAAAGAAAGAAAAAAGAGTGGAAAAATAAGAAAAAAAAAAAGAAAGAAAAAAGAGTAGAAAAAATAAGAAAAAGAAAAAAAGAAAGAAAAAAGAGTGGAAAAAATAAGAAAAAAAAAAAAAAGAAAGAAAAAAGAGTGGAAAAATAAGAAAAAGGAAAAAAAAAAGAAAGAAAAAAGAGTGGAAAAAATAAGAAAAAGGAAAAAAAAGAAAGAAAAAGAGGAAAAAATAAGAAAAAGGAAAAAAAGAAAGAAAAAGAGTGGAAAAATAAGAAAAAGGAAAAAGAAAGAAAAAGAGTGGAAAAATAAGAAAAAGGAAAAAAAAGAAAGAAAAAGAGTGGAAAAAAAGAAAAAGGAAAAAAAAGAAAGAAAAAAGAGTGGAAAAATAAGAAAAAGGAAAAAAAAAGAAAGAAAAAAGAGTGGAAAAAAAAAGAAAAAGGAAAAAAAAAGAAAGAAAAAAGAGTGGAAAAAATAAGAAAAAGGAAACAAAAGAAAGAAAAAAGAGTGGAAAAAGTAAGAAAAAGGAAACAAAAGAAAGAAAAAGAGTGGAAAAAGTAAGAAAAAGGAAAAAAAAGAAAGAAAAAGAGTGGAAAAAGTAAGAAAAAGGAAACAAAAGAAAGAAAAAGAGTGGAAAAAGTAAGAAAAAGGAAACAAAAGAAAGAAAAAGAGAGAAAAAGTAAGAAAAAGGAAACAAAGAAAAAGAAAAAGAGTGGAAAAAGTAAGAAAAAGGAAACAAAAGAAAGAAAAAAGAGTGGAAAAAGTAAGAAAAAGGAAACAAAAGAAAGAAAAAAGAGTGGAAAAAGTAAGAAAAGGAAACAAAAGAAAGAAAAAGAGTGGAAAAAATAAGAAAAAGGAAACAAAAGAAAGAAAAAGAGTGGAAAAAGTAAGAAAAAGGAAACAAAAGAAAGAAAAAGAGTGGAAAAATAAGAAAAAGGAAAAAAGAAAGAAAAAGAGTGGAAAAATAAGAAAAAGGAAACAAAAGAAAGAAAAAGAGGGAAAAATAAGAAAAAGGAAACAAAAGAAAGAAAAAGAGTGGAAAAATAAGAAAAAGGAAACAAAAGAAAGAAAAAGAGTGGAAAAAGTAAGAAAAAGGAAACAAAAGAAAGAAAAAGAGTGGAAAAAGTAAGAAAAAGGAAACAAAAGAAAGAAAAAGAGTGGAAAAAATAAGAAAAAGGAAACAAAAGAAAGAAAAAGAGTGGAAAAATAAGAAAAAGGAAACAAAAGAAAGAAAAAGAGTGGAAAAAATAAGAAAAAGGAAACAAAAGAAAGAAAAAGAGAAAAAATAAGAAAAAGGAAACAAAAGAAAGAAAAAGAGTGGAAAAAGTAAGAAAAGGAAACAAAAGAAAGAAAAAAGAGTGGAAAAAGTAAGAAAAAGGAAACAAAAGAAAGAAAAAGAGTGGAAAAAGTAAGAAAAAGGAAACAAAAAGAAAGAAAAAGAGTGGAAAAAGTAAGAAAAAGGAAACAAAAGAAAGAAAAAAGAGTGGAAAAGTAAGAAAAGGAAACAAAAGAAAGAAAAAGAGGAAAAAGTAAGAAAAAGGAAACAAAAGAAAGAAAAAGAGTGGAAAAAGTAAGAAAAAGGAAACAAAAGAAAGAAAAAGAGTGGAAAAATAAGAAAAAGGAAACAAAAGAAAGAAAAAAGAGTGGAAAAAATAAGAAAAAGGAAACAAAAGAAAGAAAAAAGAGTGGAAAAAATAAGAAAAAGGAAACAAAAGAAAGAAAAAAGAGTGGAAAAAATAAGAAAAAGGAAACAAAAGAAAGAAAAAAGAGTGGAAAAAATAAGAAAAAGGAAACAAAAGAAAGAAAAAGAGTGGAAAAATAAGAAAAAGGAAACAAAAGAAAGAAAAAGAGAGGAAAAAGTAAGAAAAAGGAAACAAAAGAAAGAAAAAAGAGTGGAAAAAATAAGAAAAAGGAAAAAAAGAAAGAAAAAAGATTAAAAAGAAAAAAGAGGAAAAAAGGAAAAAAAAAGGAAAAAAGGAAAAAGAGGGAAAAACAAAAATAAAAAGAAAAAATAGAAAAATTAAAAAAAAAAGAAAACAAAAAAAAAGGAAAAAAGAGTGGAAAAAAAAGGGAAAAGAAGAGGAAAAAAGGGGAAAAAGAAAAAAAAAGGAAAAAAGGAAAAAAGAAAAAAAAGGGAAAAAAGGGAAACAGAAAAAAGTAAAAAAGAGAAAAAAGGAAAACAGGAAAAAAAAACAGGAAAAAAAAGAAAACACGAAAAAAGAGAAAAAAACCAGAAAAAAAAGAAAGGAAAAGGAAAACAGAAGAAAAGGAAAAAAGAAAAAGAAAACAAAACAAAAAAAGAAAGAAAGATGCAAAAAGTGATGAAAAAAAACAGAAAAAAGGAAAGAAAAAGGATAAAAAGGAAAAAGAGAAAAAAGAAACAAGGGGAAAAAACAGAAAAAAAAGACAGAAAATTGAAAATAGAGAAAAAAGGAAAAAAGAAAAAAAACAGGAAAGGAAAGGAAAAGGAAAAAAGAAAAATGGGGGAAAAAGAAAAAGGAAAAAAGATAAAAGAAAGGAAAAAAGAAAAAAGAAAAATGGGAAAAAAAAAAGAAAAAAGAGAAAAAGGAAAAAAGAAGAAAAAAGAGAAAAAGGAAAAAAGAAATAAAAATGAAAGAAAAAGGAATAAAAAAGAGGAAAAAAAAAAACAAACAGAAAAAAAACATAAATGCGGTCCTATCAATTGTGCCTACCCCACGTGCAAGAAATGTGTGCTCTGTATCAAAAACAACACTTTTAAAACAAAAAAGGGGAAGGTGACACCCCAAGTAGACAAAGCTGTGTTTACCCTTAGTTTTTTTGAATTTGAATTGACAAGTATTAAACAAAAACCTCCCAGCAGACACCTGATGACAAGGCCCTCTCGAGTGCTCAGCATGGGGAGGACTCTGCTTGTGTTCTGTCTCCCCCAGGACCCTGCTGGCTTCCAGCCCCTCAGATGGCCCCTTGTCCTGAGTGGGCCCAGCCCTCAATCCCACTGTGCAGATGCAGAGGCTCCCTCAGGAATGCCGGGAGGAGGCAGGGAATGCTGAGCAGAGCAAGCCCTGCCCGGATGGCACCTGGGGCAGACGCTGTTCCAGGGGTAATTCCCTGTGTCTGCTGACTGACTGACCGGCCTCACAGCTCAGCCATGGCTGGACCTGTCACTCAGGGGCCTTCTTGGTCGCACCTGACGTTGGGATTGGTGTGACTGACAACGCCTTGACCATCCCTGTCAGTAATCCTTGTTGCTAAAGTTGTATCACAGATGAAAACATATCTACCCTCCACGTATCCCGTCCTGGCCCTCTTGGCCGTGAACTCTGCATGTCCAAAGGAAGCAGGGCAGAGGTGGGACCAGGGGGAGTCACTCTGCACCTGCACTGAGGGAATGTGGGTGCAAAGGGAGGAGCCACCTTGGCTGAGTGCTTGGAGAGAGACAAGGTTGTTTCTCCGAGTGCAAATGCACTGGAACCAGTCTGCAGGACCAGCCTGTGTTTTTCTCTGGTGGCTGAACAGCCCCTGCAGGAGGGGAGGGCAATGTGTGGGATCAGGGCTCTGCTTTGGGGCCATCCTGGGAATTCCGCTGCACTGAAAGACAAACAGCGGGTGCTGCTCCCGAGGGAATGGGAATAAAAGGGGATACTGAAAAGTGTCATTGGACAATACCCGAATTGGAACTCTGTGTGCAGCTCATTTTCTCCTTCAGCACCCAAGGAGAGGGGCCAAAAAGTGGGGCTTGGGACCCCAAAACTGTTTGGGAGGGAAATTGGGGATTGAGGGGACAATGTGATGGTGGGAGTAACAGGAAGAAGGGTGGAAAAGGGGGAGTGCTGTGGTGGGTACGACGGTCCCATGGGGGTCTTTGGACATAGGGAGGGTGGGAATGGGGGGTGGCCCCCCTGAGCTCCCAGCTTACTGTGGGATGCATCTCTTAGCAATTAATAACATCAGGTTTTGGTATCAACAGATAACTTAAGGGAGTTTTAATTTTGATCAAGGGCATATTCGAATCTGAAGTTCTTTCTGCAACATTTAAGCAGATTGTAACAGGGGACAATGGGAAAGTGGGAGGAACAGGGAGAAGGGTGGAAAAGAGGGGGTGGTCTGCCAGGTCCAACGATCCCATGGGGGTCTTTGGGCCCAAAAGTGCTGGGAAAGTGGGGTGGCCTCCCTGAGCTCCCAACTTGCTGTGGGGTGCTGGAGGCTGCTGGATCCAATCTCAGCCTTGGGTTATGACAACAGTTTGAGTTTAGAGGAATTACAGAGGTGGGACTGAACCACTTTTGTTCCTCAGGGCTTTAATGATGACAAATCAGATCTATTGATAGAAATCAATTATTTAGGGTTACAAATGATCAGACAAAAGATCTTCATCAGAATTATTTACTGCACAATGGAAACACTAAAACTACTAGTAGTACAGCATAACATCGGACAGTGCTCTACACTAAAGCAATTGTTGAAGCAATTCTACTCAAGCTGGCACCAAAGCAAGAATTATGAATTAGAGAGGGATGGAACTCCCCCAGACCAACACTCGGGGGGAGATCTCTGCTCTCAAACTCCAGCAGTGACCTTGGGGTGTCCCCAGCCAAGGCAGGAATCTCCACACACCCCCCAAGAAGGGCTCTGTTGGCAGAACCTGCCCCTGGGAAAGGGGAGTGACCCTTTCTGCTAGAAAGGGATGGACTGACAGTCACTGGACTCCAGGGGTTGCCTCACCATCAGGGGGGTCATTCGGGGCGGGAGCAGCGGCCGAAGCTCTTCCCGCAGTCAGGGCACTCGTGGGGTTTCCCTTAGCAGTGGGTCTGTTGGTGTCTGGTCAAGTTGGAGCTCCGGTTGAAGCTCTTCCCACACTCCCCACACTTGTAGGGCCTCTCCCCAGTGTGGATGCGCCGGTGCCTGATGAGGCTGGAGTTCAAACTGAAGGCCTTCCCGCAGTTGGTGCAGCGGAAGGGCCTCTCCCCTGTGTGTGTCTGCTCATGCCTGAGGAGATCTGAACTGCGCTGAAACCTCTTCCCACATTCCAAGCACTTGTAGGGTTGTTCCCTAGTGTGGATGTGCTGGTGTTGGATCAGGTTGGAGCTCCGGTTGAAGCTCTTCCCACACTCCCCACACTTGTAGGGCCTCTCCCCGGTGTGGATGTGCCGGTGGGTGACAAGGTTGCCATTCCGGGTGAAGCTCTTCCCGCAGTCGGTGCAGCGGAAGGGCCTCTCCCCCGTGTGTGTCTGCTCATGCGCGAGGAGATTTGGCCTGGTTCGAAACCTCTTCCCACATTCCCCACAAGGGTAGGGCCGTGCCCCAGTGTGGATGTGCTGGTGGGTGAGGAGGTTGGAGCTCGTTCTAAAGCTCTTCCCACATTCCAAGCACCTGAAGGGCTTCTCCCTGCTGGGAGGCTGCTCAGGGACAACCAGCTCAGAGCTCTGGCTCAAGCTCCGGCCGCCTTCCCGGCACATGACGGGTCTTTCCTCCTCAGAGCTCCCTCGGCTGGCTTTGCAGCCCCTCCTCCGGGGGCATCTCCGGGCCTTTTCCTCCCCGCTGCCTTCCTGTGCCGGGGAGCCCTTCAAAACGGCCTCTCCCACCAGGCTCTGCCGGGGGAATTTGTCCTCCGTGCTCTCCGTCCTCAGCTCGGGGCCTGGGGCAGGAAGGAAGAAGGACAGGCAGGGGATTTGCCTCTGGCCCAGAGGGGAGGCCAAGGACATCCCCCCCAAATTTGGCCCTCACGTGCACCACAAGGTAGGGCCAAAGGGGCACTGATTTCTTCCTCACCTGCCTGGGGGGCCCACAGCTTTTTCCTCTTCCTCGGAGTCTCCTCCTCCATCTGCTCAAGATTTGGGAAGGACAAATCCTGCTGGGGGGAAACAAGGGCTGAGTGTGTTGGTTTGGGGGTTCCTCCTGCCCAAGTCCATCTCTAGAACTCACCGGGCATCCTGGGACGATAAAAACCTCCAAAACACCAAGACTCAGCCCAAAAAAACCCAATCCACTGAGATTCAGGCAAAAAAACCCCTTTAGAAATAGTAAAAAGACCCCTATCCCCAAAACTGCAAAAAGTTGAGATTCAGCCAAAAAACACTCCAAAATATGAAGATTCAGTCCAAAAATCTCTCCAAGAAGTTCTCCCTCTCTGGTCTCTCCCCTCTGGGGTTCGGAAGGTCTTCCCTGTCTGGGATGTTGGGGGTCCCTCTTAGGGATGCTGGGAGTGTTGGGGGTCCCAAGGGTCCCTTCTCCTCTGACTCTCACGTTTGGGGTGCTGCCTTCCCAGACATTCCCCCTCTCCAGGTTCTCCACCTTGTCCTGCGGATCCCAGGGGTCCCCACTCTCCAGGCTTCCCCTTCTCCGCTCCCCCTGTTTCAGGTTCCCGGGGGTCCCGGGGCTCCTCCCTCTCCGTGCTCCCCCCTCCAGCCTGCCGGGGGTCCCCCAGCTCTGGCATCGCCCGCTCCGCCCTCCACCCTCAGCAGCTCCCAGGGGGACCCCAAAACTGCTGTGTCTCCCCAGCCAGCCCCGGGCTGACAGTGGCCCTGACCCTGTCCCTGCTCCTCCCTGCAGGCTCCGTGGCCGGGCACACTTTGTGTTCCTGGGTGCCACCAGCTCAGCAGCTGCAGCCGCTCCAATCAGCACCCGCAGCTCTGCAGCAAAGCCCCAGCTCACCTGGCACACAGGGCATGCACACAGCACCTTCTCGCTGCTGGGCACTCCCAGCTCAGCCTCTTCCCCAGCACGGGGCTCTCCTGCCTCAGCACCACCTCTGCCTTCCACTTCTTCTCAGGGCCACCTCAGGGCCAGCTCTGGGCTCACCTCCGGGCCATTGCTCAGGGGCACCTCAGGGCCTGCTCTCCAGCACAGCAACCTGCAGGGAGGGCAGATGATGTGCAAGCCCAGGAGGGCCTGCTTGCACTGGCCTGGGGGCTTCTTTCTCCTGCCACAACCACCCCGCAACTTCTCCTGCTTTTCTAACCCCACATCTTTGCAGACCGACCTTGTCTCTCTGTCTGCACAGACACATCTATCCCCTGTGGACAGAGCCTCCAGCATGTGCTGCCCTGGCAATGGCACCCAGAGAATTCCAGAATAAGCCGGCTTGGAAAAGACCTCCCAGATCATCAAGTGCACCCCTTGATCCAACCCCGCTGTGGTTCCCAGACCGTGGCACGGATGCCCAGGGGAGGGGCTTTGGGGATGAGGGCTCTCCCAGTACAGCCCAGTGCCCCCAGTACAGCCCACTGTGTTCCTGTCCCAGGGCACCAGGTGATCCCTCTTTGCCAGGGGTTTGATTGGGATTTGGGGCATTTTGGGGGCCTCTGGTGCATTTGGGGGAGTTAAAAGGGGTCTTGGGAGCATTGGGGGGTAAAAGGGATCTGGGGGGGGAGGTGATGAAAGGAAAAATGGGGCTTAGAGAACATTTGGGGGGCCTTATTGGGCCCTGGGGGAGACAGGAGGGGCAGCATCACGAGCAGGTGAGTTCTGAGACCCCCCTGTTGTCCCCAAGACCCTCCTGCTGTCCTCAATTTCCCACTTGGCACCCCGAGAGCCCCCTGGTGTCTCCAGTGTCCCCAGGGCCTCCCCATGGCCCCAGTTCCCCCCTTGAAACCCCCCATTCTACTGTCCCCAAACCCCTCCCCACTGTCCCCAAACCCCTCCCCACTGTCCCCAACCCTCCATCTCCCCTCAGAAGGCCCCCCTGGACCTTCTGACCCCCAAAATGGCCCCATTTCCCCACACTCACAGAAAGGCCAAAGGCATCTGGGGACACGTTGGGGACACTTGGAGGGCTTTGGGGAGCACTGGGTGATTACAGGGGCATACTGGGACACACTGGAGGGAACCAGGGGGCACTGGGAGGGACTGGGGGGTTATTGAGGGATGCTGGGAGGGCACTGGAAGGGACAGGGTGATTACTGGGGGATTACCAGGACACACGGGGGGACACTGGGAGGTTAGTGGGTCATACTGGGGGTTACTGGGTGCTTACTGGAGGATCATTGGGCCATACTGGGGGGGCAGTGGGAGGTCATTGGGAAACACTGGGTGGTCACTGGGGGGGTTACTGGGCCATATGGAGAGCCACTGGGAGGTCACTGGGCTGTACTGGGGGCAATGGGATCCCCTTACCTGCATGTGGTTCATCTGCCTCACAAGACTTTGGATGGCACTGCCAGGACCCCTCCCTTGAGGGCTGGGAGACCCCTTGAACCCCACTGCTGGGCTTTAGGGGACCCCCGGGATCCCCTCCCTGTGCCGTCTCTGTGTGCTGAGTTTTGGGGGTCTCTGGGGTTCGGGGGGGGCATCAGGACCCGCTTTCCCTGCGGTCGGTCCGCCAAGCCGGCAGGGGGCGCTGTGGCACGAGCGGCAATGGCGGAGCCGCGCGGGGCCTTATGGGAGTTGAAGTTCGCTCATGGGAACTCCGCCGGCGCCTGCGCAGTGCAGCCATGGCGTTTAAACAGCTCTCTCCTGAGAGGGTTCCGAGGCCCCAGCCCTTTCAGGGACCCCCTAAACCCCTTCAGGCACCTTCACCCTCCCCTCTGAGCGCCCTCAGGACACCAAATCCCCTCCGCGACCCCCCGACAGCCCCTCACGGACCTCAAAACCTCCTCGGGAACCCCCGAGCCCCTCCTCTCCACTCTGCCGAGCCCTCCAGCCTTCCCGCCCACAGCCGCGCTCCCCGCAGCCCCCGAGCGCATCCCCAGCCCCGCCGCAGCCCCCGCCAGGGCTCACAAAGTGCGGAGCAGATCCCGCTGTCGCCGCCATCGCTTTCCCGGCAGCCACCGCGGGGCTGTGCGCGCGCACCGCCAGCAGAGACCCCGCCCCGCCCCCTTTTCCGCGCGGGGCACGCCGGGAGTTGTAGTTGCAGCGGCTCAAAGCTCCAAACTCCCCCAGACTCAATTCCCCACGGGCGTTCCTGGGGCAGAGCGGGGCAGAACCGGGGCGGGGACGGGACGGGCATTGGGTGGAAATCATTATAAAAACTGTAACCCCTGCGTTGGAAGGGATGGTTGTGGGTTTGTATTCCTCGAACCTGGAGGCTCATGGAAACCTCTGCTGCTTGTCTGACCTCCTATCTAGTTTTGCCTGGAGTCTTTTCCTCTGCAGCCTTTTAGGCAACAACGTTTATGGGGTTTATGAGGATATGGCCTTTATGAGAACCTCTTATGAGGGGTATGGGCTTTCTGAGGACAGCACCTTTATGACCTGCATGGGCTTTATGCAGAGAGATCTTTTATGATGAGAGCTCTATCATGATGTGTATGGGCTTTATAAGGACAGAGCTTTTATGACATTTATGGTGTTTATGAGGACAGAGCCTTTGTGATTTGAGCCCCTCTGAGGTGCACGGGCTTTATGAGGACAAAGCCTTTATGAGGTTTATGGCATTTATGAGAACATCTCCTTTATGATGACAGCCCCATGAGGAGATTTATGGGCCTTATGACGACAGGGACTTTATGAAGCTTATATCATTCTGAGGTGTGTGAGGGTTATGAGGACAGTGCCTTTATGAGGCTGCACCATTGTGAGATGGATGGGGTTTATGAGGAGAGAGACTTTACGATGAGAGCCTCTTACGAGGTTTATGGGCTTTATGAGGAGAGCACCATTATGACAGGTAAGGGTGTTATGAAGACAGAGCTTTCATGATGACAGCTCTTTAATGAGGTGTTTGGGCTCTATGAGACCTGCACCATTGTGAGGCTTCAGCCACAGCTCCAACATCAGCACATCCACACTAGGGCATGACCGTCCTCTTCCCCACCAGGCCTGTAGGGTTTTAGTCATGCAGTGTCAAAGATGCCCAAAAACTATATTCTCCCTTGGAAAAGGGCTTATTTATGGAGATCACTGCTTTTTGGGAAGCAGAAAAAAATGTCCCTCAGCAGTCTCTGATTTTAAGGGGACCCTAAAAACAAGCCTCTTTTGGCAGGAACCCCACCCCCTGATGGGGTGACCCACCCAGCTCCTGTTGGGAAATGGAAGGCTCAAATTGAACATTATTGCACCATCTTTCAGGGAACAGAAGGAGCTCACAAAAATCCTCCCTGACAAGATGAGGTGACTGTAAATAGCTCAGCTGATTCTCCCCCTTCTGTGGTTCAAGGGGCACCCCCACACTCAGAGCAATTGCAGGATGGGGGTTTCCTGATGCCTCAGCTGAGTGGGAAGGGGCAGTTTGGAAATATCGTGCTGTGGCTTTACAGGGACATCCAGGAGACAAAAGAGTCCCCGAAGGAGAAGGCAGGGCACAGGCAGGAGAATCAGGAGCAGTTTGGAGGGGATTTAACCAGGAAGCTGAACCCTCTGACTGTATATGTTTACAGGGATTCTTTTACTGTGTTCAAAGGGTGTACTGAGTGGCTCCCCTGCTTGGACAGCAATGACTGGGAAGTGAATGGAATCCCTGTTTGGCAAAAGGGAAAAGGGCAAGAAATTCTTGCTCTAGCAAAGAAAGGGAATTTTTTAGTCAGATGGGCAGCATCCCATCAGGAAAATGGAACTCCAGCTGGTCAGTGGAACAACAAAGGAAATGAATTGGCCAGATTAGCCCCTCTGTTGACGGAGGGGCTCGGGTAACATATGCACACGATCTATAAGATCTCCAATATGTCCGCTTTATTAAAAGAGTTTTGCCCTTTTATAGTTTCTCCATACAAGGTCTCGTGACCAGATGCATATAATTGGTTACAAGCTACTGTCCAGATGTAAACATACATTACAAATACATTTATAATTGGTTTATAACAAGTATCTAGGCAGAATAAGATAATTATTTACTTTATCAAACCCCACCTTCTTCTTGGCACAGATTTCCTTTTGTTCTAGCTAGGAAACTCACAACCATCTTGGCACTTACAATTTATAATTTCTATAAAGCTCTATTAAAGCAAAGATTATAAAACTAAAGAACACAATATAAATTGCTTGTGTATCCATCATGTTCCTCCCACAAATCCCCTTTTTGCTTTTGAGCAATTAATATTACATCTAATACATTCTTATCATACCTCTAACATATTATAACACACAAGTACATATAATCACTACCATTAAAAATAAAACTTTCACACACTTACAGTTTTTTTACTATCTTATGATGCTAAAGCTTAACTCATACTAAGATTTAATGGATAATATATCAAGTTCACATGATACACTCTCTGAAGTTCTTAACTTCTACGATTATGTCTTAATATACTATAAAACTGTGTTATAATAATACTGAAAAAACTGTGCAATTCTGAATAGCTTATCTACAACAGTATCAACCTTGTCCCACAGTATTACTTTCTTTCCAAGGTCTTATCCGTCGTGCAGGTAGCCATTGAACACCTGTGTCTGTAAGGATACAAGCATAGCCTCTGCCAGTCAGTTTTACCTCTGCAGGTCCCTTCCAGATCCCCATTTGTGGGTCTTTGTACTGTACTTTAACTGTTACCTGTTGATTTATCAAACCTGACTGCATAGAAGTGTTATGAATCACAATGGGAGGGTCCGATCTTCCACCCATCAACCATAAAAAATTCAAGACCTATAACACTTTTTGCAAGTCGGTCATGTGGGCTATCCAGCTCTTCTCCCCCTCTCTGCTTGTTCAAAAGTGTTTTAATGAAACATGAGAAATACCACAATTCATACAGAATCTGCGAAAATGCTGAGGTATAACCTGACCCATTGTCTGTTTTAATTTCTGTGGGGACTCCTAGGGCGGTACAAAAAAACTTTTCTAATACCTATGTAATGCATTATTAAGCCTACAAATATATAGAGAGATATATAAATCCACACAATACCTCTCTCTTGCATACAATTGTCTTCCAAACATTCAAAGGTGGCCACCTCAGTCACACCTCAATCATATGTACTCTCACACAAAACTAGAACTTCTTAACCAAATAATTAAGCTTTCTAATGAGTAAACAACACAAGAAATTATTTACAACAGCTATGAGATTTCATAATGTGAAAAAACAGTGGAAAAGAAAATCACTGTCAGTGTTTGAAGACAGTCTTGTAGTGGGTGACGTCAGTTTCAAATAGACTCCTCTAAAACTTACACTGCTGTTTAACAGAAGTAAGCTGTAGTTCTCTGATCTAACAAATGTAACAACTGTGTCATAAGTGCTGCTAAGATTTTATTTTTCAGGGTTTTAATCATTGCTCTCTTTATCCTTTGAACTGTTCCCATCTGACCACAAGTATAACACCTCTTGCCTTTCTCGCTCTTATTATTTTTCTCTTGACTTTGCACCAAAGGCTCCACTGTTGCACCCACCGCTGTAGCTATATAGGCTGCTTTGTCCTGCTCTACCATCCTGTCAGCAGCCTC